ACTGCTGCTTTTCTGGCATTTTTTATTTAAAGAGGGGACCGTCTCCATCGATGTCAGGAAAGGATCCTGCTTCCCAGCCCGTTCACTGAGCTCACAGCAAACAAACATGCTGTCAGCGAGGATTTGCAGCCCGTCTCCAGCACAGGAACAATAAACCCCTCATGAATAAATGGACGTGATTAACACGGTGTGTTACAAAATAATGTTTTTTTATTGCAATAACGTACAGAGCAAATCCATAAAAGCTGAAGTTTCTGGAGATGTTATAACAAGATATCTTAACAAACAACAGATTAATCAGGATTTATATCTGTTTAAAATTAATACTTACAAATGGTTATATTTTACCAATGCACTTTCTCTGTAATGTAGCACAGAGAATAAAAAAGGAATGAAGATCAAGTGTATTTCCTGGCCTAGATGGCAGTCTGGTTTTTAAATCTGTTGCAAGTACTCATCAGAGAACTCAAGTCATGAAATTAAATCTTCCGGGCAGTAAACCTGCAAACGACAAACTCTCAACTCAGGTTACACAAGAAACAGTTCATCTTTCGCCGACACTTGTTCTGCAGCCTAACAGATCAACACGTGTCCACGAAGAATTCAAACACCAAAACACAAGCAAAACGAAAAGGTCTCTTTCAAAAGGAACGTTTTCTCTTTTCATGATTACCCATCAGATGAAGCTTTTAAATGATGGTACTTGGAGGGTTTTTCTCGGTACTCACTTGCTATAAATATGGACACATAGCTCTGCCTGACATCATCATCTGATGCTCTGTGTACTGGCTGTAGCTTCATTTGAAAGCAAAATTAAAAAAATAATCAATCCAAACATTCTTACACATAGGACTGCTCAAGTTTTCAGACTTCTCTATACTTCTTCTACAGCTGAAGTATTTTTTCAGATTTCCAAAATTAAGACCTTGTCACAACAAGATGTACGCAAGCCTAAAAGGTAGATTTTTCATTTAAAAGATAATGGTATCTTGCGATCAAATGCTCAGATGTGAATTCTGTTGTCATCTTCAAGTTCATTTAGGGTTTCATTGCAGCTGAATTGAAAACGTCTGTAAGGGTGCCACTTGTAAGACACTACACTCTGTTCCATCAAATCACACTTAAAGTATTACTGGCGACCACAGAATAAGAAAAATAACAATCTGAAGTCTCGTGGTAAGAATGAAAGGCCAGTGCAGACAAAATTTGAGCTTTCTTTTAAAAAGAGTTGTGTCACAGATACAGATATGGTAGCATTCCCAGGCTTAAAGAGAACAGTGAAGAGATGTCTCCTAAGACGCTGGGGGGAAGAGGCTCCATTTTCTGTCCTCACCAGTTGACTAGTGTTTTGATCACTCACAGTGTAAGACATTAACAAGGAGAGTTGTCAGAAAATCAGGATGTGCACCTGCTCCTTACTATCAAATGTACTGCACATGCAAAAAATATCACGACTCCAACTTGAAGCCAGAACGAAAGGAAAGACTCACAAGCCCTCAACTCATTACGTTTTGTAAGTTGCCATCAGCTCAGGCCTCTTTATTGATGCAGCTGTCACCTAATCGCTTAGAATGCCCGCTAAGGAATTAATCCTTAATTACACTTAACAGCAGGATAAAAACGTCTTTGATGCCCCTCATCTGCATGCTTTTAAACAATGCAAAGTTGAAAAGAGGACAAGATCTGAAACCCTTTTTTTTCTTTTTTTTAAGGCACTCCATCAAAACTTATAAGATTTTAATGTGATTTTATGTGAGTGAGCGAGTAACTATTCCATCATGAGACGGGCAAGATGCATCAAAAGCCGTACCCTCTAACGAAAGCTCTGCGTGCGCGAGACAGAGCCGGCCTGTGACAATTTTTGGCATGATAATTATGCAGAGTGACAGAGAATGACATGCTGGTTACTGAGGCCGAAGCCCATTAATCCTTCCTCTGCTTCAACCAGCAACTTCAAACCGCGTGACATTAAACAGCATTGACTGTGCAGTGATTATGACTTTCCCATCTGGTCCCCTAAAGAGGCGCTACCCTCTCTCTCACACACAGACAACTGCCTGTTCTTAGAATAGCATTATTATCTTAGAATCAGGAGATCACTTCTCCAAAGCTGGTCCGTCCACTGGGTTCAATGTCAAAGAAGAGAGCTTTCCGACACCACCATCATCTCAACTGCTGACATCCGTACCCCTCCTTTCCAAAGACAAATAGATAACAAGCTCTGAGATTTTCCAACTGCTTAATGGTCCTGGCAACCAAGCCTGCGACCCATTTCAGCGGCTGCAGATGTCAACTTTACATTCCAACAGCAAAGTTTATTTTTTTAACGACTCCTGGTCCACACAGCTCCCCCCCCGGCGCACATCAAGGAAGAGAACATGAAAAAGACTGACACTGCTTACTTACCTGCTTGTGCTGAAAACAGGACTGGTGATGGATGCTGGATGCCTGGAATCATATCATGCCCGGCAGAAGGGTGAACACAGTGAAGGTCACATATAAATAAATATCGTAATTCAGCTTGGGATTATTAAACTACTGTGGGAGTTTACACATGAGCACAACATGCCGAAGCGTGAGCTTATCACTCTTCCTGCTGTAGATGTATTTTTTTAGCTCACACTAAGGGCAGTAGTGTAGAACAGGGGTTAAGGGCCTGGCCTTGATGTGACTCCAAGGTTGTGGGTTCCAGTCCCAGACGAGACACTGCTGTTGTGCCCTTGAGCAAGGTATGTCACCTGCAGTAAAACGCCCCCTTGTATAAATGGGTGTGAATGGAAGCTCTGGATAAAAGTGTAAGTGAAACACAAAGAATACTGAAAACTCTGAATCAGCTCTTTGGGCACAATACAGATCCTCAGGGGTCCCTGCAAATCAATGGAGAACTCATTTTTGATGGCAGCATTCCACAGCAAGTACTGAAAATCACTGACCACCACAGAAAACACGCAAAGAAAAACAGTGGCTGCTTCTTGCAAGGAAACCACTGTCCCTGGAAACTACAGGGCTGTACAAAGTTTTTCATGCCAGACAGGTAAGGTAACATTTAGGAAGAAATACAAATATAAAGTGTAGAAGTCACTCCAAATAAACTGTTTTTATTAAGAACTGTAATGAGAACCCAATGATTAAACATAGCTATTAAACACAGTTTCACAAAGACTTCTTTCTTTGCAGTCTGACTGTTTTCTGCAGAGCACAGGAATGAACAGCTTATTCCTTCTGGAATTCCTCTCACAGCACAAATGTTCTTTGACTCAGTCTATGATCTGCAACTTTATTACTTTTTTTCTTTTGGTCATCATTACTGCAGCCCCTCTCACTCGCTAACAAACTGAGTTTGTCTGAGTGCAAAAAGGATTGGTGGGTTTTCCTATCCTTACTTTACAGTAGGGATATAACTTCATTCACAGTTGAGAGACGTTGTGCACTCCAGCGGTGTCAGATAGAAAGTGGGCTGTCGACAGTTACACACTGCTCCTGTGTACACACCGCTCAAAAGGCATCTTTAGCTGAGATATCACTGCACTTTTCTTTCCTTCACCCCTGACAAATGTCATCCTCCCTACCATATCACCACCTCCACCGTTCCTCATAGTAGGAGTGGCGCTGACCTCATATACTGCACCTTGTTGGCCTTCTCCCAAACATGTTTGTTTTTCCAGTCAGACTTGACTCCCGCCACTTGGCCAATGTGTGCTGTATGACTACAGACTCCCCTTTCAGACACAGGACTTCACAGTAACTGTTGGCTTCACCTTCACAGTCCGTGATTTCCTGCTTGCCCAGCTGCTCATTTTTTCTGCCTCTTTACCACTCAATTGAATTTTAATTCGAAAGCTCCTTGGACCTCTTGGTTTGTATGTTGAGTCACTGTGTACATTGCGCCTTGAAATACTAGATCTAAATGAGAGAGAATTTAAAATGCAAGATTGCATTACTGTGACACCAAGTTAAACACCTTTAAATGCACAGAGATCCTTACCCTAATTTATGTGACCTTTCCAACTACTCAACTGAAGTTTGTATTTCGTTTTGTACAGTACTGATCAACACTACTAAGAGATACCCTCAGCACCCGGTGTGAAATGTAGTTGCTAACACATGATGCAGTAAGAAATGATCAGAAATAATATTCCACTGTTTAAATTGTTCTCACGCAATACTAAAATCCTAAAGGACAACTGTCATTCTTAAAAAAAGAATGAGCAGCACTATATGAAAACCTGAGCAACTTCGAGTGTTTACATCTATATTGCAGTTGAGATACACTGACTCATCACTGCAAATGTAAAATGTAAGATCAAGATCACTGGTATTCCAGACACTGCCATTCAACTCTACATGGAAACTGGGAACATTCACAAAGTTCTAACAATGAACAGTGTATGTGATAAATCTTTCTTTTTAATCTTAAGAACACTGAAAAGGTAAATTATACAGAGTGTTATGCTCAAATATCACTAAATTCTGACAACACAAAAACACACATACTTCAAACAGCAATGTGAGCCCAGTTCAGGTATTTTCTTCTCAGCTTAAATGTTACATCTACCTGTGTGTACTGGTACCGTTACAGTGCTTAAAAAATATTATTCAGTGAGTCAACTTGTAAGTGAAGCACCTTGCTCAAGGGTACAACAGCAGTGTTTTACTCTTACATTTTTTTTAAAAATTGTCAAGGGATCCAGGACGGATTGAGGATCTATTGAAAAGTGCAATGAATATATTTAGCATAACTGCCAGGCTTTTGGACGATTCAGGATCAACACAGAAGTATTCAAGACCTCTCCTCAGGTTTTTAGATTCTGCATTATCATAATATTTTACACAGATGGGCTAGATGGGCCATATGTTCTAGGTCGAGCAAGAGATGAATTCCAGTGCTCAGTTTATATATGCAAAAGACTTGAGTAATAATATTTTGCCCAAAAAATGTAAACATGACAGGTGAATTTCAAAAGTATTTTAAGGCAATGAAAGAACACCACCATACCAAATAATTTTAAAACATTTATTGCCAGGCCCTACACAGAGGAAAGTAGCACAATTTTACCAACATTCTTTCAGTTGTACTTCTTTACACTAAGAACACAATCACACATTACTAGATACAACATCCTAAAAAAAGACATGGAATTCATCACCATGGAAATTCCTTACAGAATTGAAACAATGGATCAACCTGTTAACAACCACCACTGACAAGATGGACAACACTACTACAGGCCAAAAGGGGGAACAGGAAATCTGTGCACTGATAATACATGTGCTTTGTGCCTAAAAAGTTACAGAGTTTAATTTGTACCCATGCTAGGCAGTTTAAAATGAGCAGCGAACATACTGTATTTCCGATGCCCCTTGAGAACAGGCATGGATTTCTTTTAAGGAAGTGTTCGTGTTAAAAACAGCTCCCCCATTTGTAGACCAAGGGATTCAGCACACTGTCGTGTGGGCGGTGTTCAGTTACCCTCCAGCTCCACACTGTCTTCGCCTAACCCGTCGTCAAACTGGGTCAGGTCCGCGTCGTTCTGATAGCTGTCCTGCTGGCTGCCTTCCACAGGCTCGTCTTTGGCTTCAACCTCGAAAGGATCCTCCCCCTGGTAACATAATTATCACCAAATCTGATCAATCGAAGAGTACTGCCCATGAAACGCGTCGCCCCTCAGGTTAAAGAAGATCCACTTCAGCAGCACAAAATGCTTCACCTTGTCCTATGATATCTAGGAACCGATAATAAAGCGTAATGTTCACCCTGGAGGATCCCGATGTGATTTACAAAGAGAAATCAGTTAACCCACCACTGAGGTACAGCCTCACCCGAGGGACACTCGGCAGCCGTTCTGTGCCAGCAGAAGTGAGAAACTAATGCACCCATTGAAGCAAGGGGGAACTTCAGGGGTGCTGCACTTTGGAAACCCAGGCAGAATTCAGCCAGGGCACCTCTGACAGACACTTCCACTGAACCATTAATGGCATTAAGGACCTCTTCTCATCATTTCATCCAAAGAACAGCACGTTTACCACAGTGGGGCGCTGGAGATGGTCACCTGATCAGACCAGATCACTTTATTAGCCATATACAATTACTTGCATTAGGAATTTGTCTTTTCAAAGACCCCAGCTTGCTCTCCATAATACACACAGATAGGAAGAGAAGCCTGGGGTCAGAGCGCAGGGTCAGCCATCATACAGCGCCCCTGGAGCAGTTGGGGTTAAGGGCCTTGCTCAAGAGCCCAACGGAGTTGGATTTATTTTAAGGCCTGCACAGTAAAACACGCAGGCCTCTTACAACTTTTTCACACTCATGAGCACTCCTGCTGGCAGCTGAAATAAACTTTCGTTTTCACTGTGCATCAATGCAAATTTTACACTAATTACCCACAAGGCATATACACAACGCTACACGCATTTTGATACGTAAGGCAATATGATAGAGCTCGCATTAATACACACATCACGAACTGTCGACTTGGCAAAGAGAAGACAGACATTTTCAGCCTTTCCAATGGCACAGTGCACAAAAAGAAGGCACTTTACCTTAATATACTTCTCGTAGCGAGCCTTGACTATGGGGTTGTTCAGGATGCTGGTAGCTGTCAGCACGCTCTCCTTCTTCAGCTGCTCTTTATACAGCTTTTGGGGAAAGAAGGTTTACAGAGGGTTCATGAAGTTCATGAGATACGCAGGTCGGAGCTTTAACAAGGCATAACATCACTTTATCAGCCCTATACAAGTTTTGTTGCATTAGGAATTCGTCTTTCCGCATACCTCAGCTTGCTCTCCATGAGACACACAGACAGGGAGAGAAGCCGGGGGTCAGAGAGCAGGGTCAGTCATTGTACAGCGCCCCTGGAGCATTTGGGGTTAAGGGCCTTGTTCAGGGGCCCTATGGAGTACGATTCCTCTGCCGGCTGCGGGATTTGAACCTTCCAGCCACAGGCTTAGATCCTGAGCCACAGAGCCACCGCTCCGCCAAGCAAAGCAACACCAAGATTTGATACCAGGCAAATTCTTTTCAGTTTTACACCAGGAGCCTTACTGAGTGCAAGGTCTGCTAATAAAACTGGGAGAAGCGGGTTCTGCATGAAAGTAACCCCCACAGCCCCAATCCAAAGGGAAACCCGGAAGCCGCTCCCTGCTGTGGGCACGTACCACTTTGTTCTTCTGGTGGTCGCTGGACTTGAGGTGCTGCTGCACAGAGGACAGGACGGCGGGGACATGAGCCCGGCAGGCCACGCAGTGGATGACCTCCACCTTCCTCATGTAGTCCTCCTCCGTGACTCCTGCACAGCCAAAGAGATCGTGAGCGACCAGAGCCGGGCCCGGAGAGCCCGGAGAGAAGGAAATGACCAGCCGGTAACCTGACTCGCCGCGCACTACCCTGGCCAAGAGCATGGCAGCAATTCCCATTTCCCGATCACACGTGGGAGTCGCATGAACGGACATGCTAAGGGGTGACTCAAGAAACTGATTCTACGTCATTTAATTCTTGTCAGTGGAATTCACTGCCCGGATCCATCAAAGACTCATTGACCATTTCAAAACCCGCCTGGAGACCCCTCTTTTATAGTACAGAGTTGAACATGCCATTTAAATAACATACTAAAAAAATGGGTTTCGTTGGGTCAGTCTGCTGGCCATTTCCATTTTATATTGTATATTGTGGGAGCTCTTGTACAGAGCTTGCTGAACTGACACAGCTATTTAACCAGCAGCACTGCACTTCCGGTGATTACAAGTCTCTTATTTCCAAGAACGGGACCCTTCCAACGCCTGGTTTTGGCGACTCGGCACCATTCCACGACTGCTGCTTATTTGGATATTTCCCCCCAAGATGACTACAGCCTGCTGAAAAAGTACACCGCCGTAGGATTTTATGGTTTAACATATCTGACCCTCACCAAGTCCCAAAAGTAGATAAAGCTAACATCATTTGACAAATGACACAAAAGAATTCTACACTGTCATTATTTATTTTTAAAAAATGAGCCAGCACTCAGACGTAACTAAACAGTGCCAGTTACCTTCCATTAACTCTTTATGAATTTCCTCTAGGGTCTGCTCAGGGTGGTTGTTATTCAATTTCCGGGACACCGTCTTCCGAAATTTGTTGACCATGGACTCCTGCAGGGGACATTCTCAACGTCAGTGACGGATCCACACATCACCGAGAGCTTATAGTACAGTGTTCATCTTAAACTCCTTATAAACAAGGATGGTGACTTCTCATTTTCTCTGACCACACTTTAATCTGGTCTTTGTTAATGCAGAATTTTATTATGATATACGTCATTCATTGTTTTGTTCTCTACAACATTATCAATGACTTTTTCAGTGAATACTTAGCTGAGAGAAAATAAAGTTTAAAAGACACCATGTTGAGATAAAGGAACGTGAACAGTTCTTACATGCAAGAAGTTAATGACTCCATCATCGAATTTGGCCTGCTTCTGGATGTAGTCGAGCGTCTCCTTGTGAGAAGGGCTTTCGAAGTGATTCTCGATGTCCTTCTCTTCAAACGTGCGGAACTTACAGAAAGTACACGTGAACGCCAATCTGCAGAAAACACACAGGCTTCGGCCCTTAGAACTTGCAATCGCAAACCACACGCGTGAAACCCTGCAGCTCCTTCTGCCCATAAAAAGCATATGCGTTTTCCCCGTTACTTACAGTTTTAACCTTAGACAAAGCAAAAGGTTTTTCACAAAGTCCGAAGCAGTTGCACCACAACACACACTAAAACATCTGAAATACCTCTCTGCTACTTACATGTACGTCGATTACAAAGCTCTTTGCAAGAATGTAGGCACTACAAGTGTAAGCAACAGTAAACAAGGTGATGTGTCAGAAAAAGAGTGAACCTTCTCCATCCAGCTTGCCCACATCACAGTGGCATTCCATTAAAGGAGCTGTCGGCATCACTGGCTCAAGTCTGGGCTGTCACAAACTGACTGGGACCACGAGCAGTGGCAAACAATTGAATGGCTCCTGCAAGGGGTGGCTGGGGTGTCCTGGGCTGACCACACAACAAAGCGTTGTGCTGCTCATCTGCGGGCTTGTAGCGTTACTCCTCTAACGGATGCTAACTCCTGTGCAAGGCACTGTGGGACTAAGAGCGTGGAAGAGGGCAAAGAGCCCTGAAGGGGCCCACGCTGGAGGAAGGTGTGTGCTGCCACCACTTGACCCTTGTTGGTCTAAGACCATACTGGTGAGCCAAGCTGATCAACAGCGGGACATCTCAGACAGGAAGGACAGGAGGAGAAAGAGTATCGACTCCTGGTGTTAAAAACATTTCTGCACCTGTATCCATCTCCATATTTTTCATTGTTCTTCTCGCGTCTCCGTCTCTGCTTCTCTCTCCTGGCCTCAATTTTTCTCTGCTTCTCCTCCTCCATGGTGGCTTGTAGGAGAAAGGACAGTTTTAGGAAGACAGGCCCCGGGAACGAAAACCGCAGGCCCAGGAGACAGGAAAGGACAGTAATACCTTCTGATTGGCTGCCGTTGTTTCCATCGTCCGTTTCACCACCAGCCTGCAATGGAGACGGGCAGCTCAGCACCAGGACAGAGAGGAAAACAGCACCAAAGCCATCCAGGCAGCCTGCTCTGCAGCACGTCCACCACAATGCTACAATAAAATAGTCTGATGCGAATCTCTCATGCAGTGAAAAATAACTTTACATTGAAAAAGACGCAGACAAGGCCTCCCTGAGACACTGTCTTCAGTTCAGAACACTACCATTCCATGTCAATCTTTAACAAAGCATTACCTCAGAAGGGCTGTTCGTTCCTGGAACAACAGAGAGGAAAATGTGTAAGAACAAGAGTGCACACAACTTGTTGAATTTATTTTAAAATGTATTAAAATAGACTGAAGTTGCTGAAGTGGGTAATCCAATGTGCTAGCCAAACACTTCATTAGAAAACTGCAAACCTTACTGATATACTAAAATAAAAAAGCACAGGACAGCTGAAAAACTACTGTAGATTTTTACATATAAGACAAGACATGCCAATTCAGGCGACCCTAAATGAGCTGTAATTCTATGATGAAATCACTGTTCATTAAAGAGATTAATTGGAAGTATAGATGTCCACTTCACTGTCAAAAGGTAAGAAAAGGGCAAATTCTGCATAATTAACCAGAAAACTACTACATGCGAAATCATACTGACAGCGAAGTATCCAGCTCTGAAGTATTCCCCTCTGCCAGCTGCTGCATGACAAACACACACCCACGTTTTACCAGGTCCCAATTCCAACAAAACCCCGAATTTTCGAATGCGATAGCAAACCGATCGAGTCGTTCTATTCATTTTACCCATTTTGCCTTTCGGGGCCAGGCTGGTTTTGGTCAGCTTCTGCTTCTTGACGAAGGTGTTGGGCCTGCTGGGCGCCATCATCTTCCTCTTCACGCCCCTGAAGGCGGGCTGGTGCTGGTAGTCGATCTGGAAGCCTGGCGGGGGGTTCCCGAACTGGCCCATGGGCTGCAAGGAGAGAGACCGTCATCGTCTCAGCACTGCAAGAGCTCAGGAGCAAACAACCTGCGGCCCGGTTCAGACCTACACCTCATAATGCGGGACAAGGCTGCTCTTTTATTGCAGGGCAAAAACCCGGAAAGAAAAATCTCTCTTGTGTTCTGGAGTACATCCTGGTTCTCAGCTTCTGCTCTTTTTAATATATGCCGATGACTGTTTATTGAATGAACAAGCTTTGAGTTGTTCGTTCAGTATATTGGTTTTAACAAATTAAGAGCCGATACCAAAAATCACTGGAATTCAAGTTCAACTTTCTGCTACTGCAGAACGACTTTTGGGGTACCCCAAAAGAATAAATCAGTTTTCCTTGCTTAAAGTAAAAAGAAAATATGCACATTTAAAGGATTTACACTTCTAGCATTCAGCTTTTTCACCAACTTACTAACATATCAGCTGTAAAGTACTGGTCCAAACACCAGGCTCTTAGAACATGAGCACTTGGCTTACAAAAACAAACCTGTGAGCCATAAAATTCAGTCCTGGTCAAAAACATTAAATTCTGACAAGTACATTTCTTAGAAAACGGGGTCTAAATCAGTGTCATCATCAAGCCCTGTGCTTTCTTCACAATGAAGTATCTTTTGTATAAAACTTTGGCACAGAGCTAAGAGATACTTTTCCAGAGCTTATCCAGGTGTAAATACTATACCAATATGCTGCTTTAGTATACATAAAATAATTTTTCTTTAGTACACGTGGAAAGGAGAAAATCTTTAAAGGAATTTCTGTTTCCACTTAAAACGAAAAAAGATCAAAATCTCACTGAAAGCTTTACTGGAGAACAATGATTTAGCCAATTCAACGCATGGTGTAAGTAAGAAAGCACAGGACAGCTGCAAAGCTATTTTTGCAGTTACCATATTTTTACAAACAAGACATGACACACAAGTTCAAATGATACTACATAACCTGTAATACTACGTTGAAACCATTGCTCTCTGAAGGGTTATTTGAAGGTAGCTGTTAACTGCACTGTTTCACGGTGAGACAAATATAAGATCTTTAACAAGCAGCATAGTTAACCGGTTGTAAAAAGATGTAACTCTCTCTGCCTCTGAACGTTAAGTACTCCTACTTTGCATACCTAAAATGGACTCTGCTTTGCAAGACGGCTGTAAAAAACAGACCATCGCAACGCATCACAAAGTTTCAGTGGTTCATTTTTTCCCGCCTTTAGCAATCACTTTCTAGTGTCGGAAAGCTGTTTTCTGGGCTCTGCATCCAGCACCTAAGCACAAGTAAAACATGCTGTTCTCCACAAGCACCACGTCCCCCAGCCAATGAACCGCCGTTCAGCCGAAGAGGTGCGATTTCAACCAGAATCACAGAGCTAGAAGAACACGGTGAACCGGAAGATCTTCCCTGATGACACTGTTCAGTTCCCTCTACAGTGGCGAGACCTCGACCAAGGTAAAAATGCTAGGGTTCAGCATTGCCAAGCAGTAATAAAAACACACACATTAAAAAAGGCAATATTCCAAAACTATACAGGAATGAAAACTGTTCCTGGAACATTTAATAACCAGATAAATGTGTCACATGGATATCCAGGAGTTCCTAGTTTCTTAAATGTGATAACTCAGCCACAACAGCTCATCTAACACATTAATTCACACGTTTAATGATATTAAAACCACAATTTTATCACAAAGTCCAGGGATTTAAATTTAGAATGATCGCCACAATGATAACCTCTCTCAGAAAAAAAAAACTTTTAGTTCTTCAGAAATTTAAATCGGAGTAAGAGCAGGCCAAGTGCTTCAGAGTAAAAAGGTCTTTTCATTCCAGCCCTATCCAAGCAGTGTTTCCCTTCACTACTGGCAGATCCCAGAGCAGAGCACATGGCTTTGGTCCTTCTCTCTCTCACTGGAACGCTGCACATGAGCACTGCCATCAAGAACTAATCACCACAACACCGACCAGCTCCACAACCCTGACTTGCAAAATCCTATATAGCTGAAAGGAGGCTCTGACTATTACAACCAATAATCACAACAGCTTTACTGTCTCAGCAACAGCCACCCTAGTTAAACGCTGTCAGCCAGAAGATGTCCATGTCCTGAAGGATTCGACTCCCTGACCTTGCTTCCGAGCTCTTCCAAAGACCTTTGGCTCAGTTATTAATACAGCCCTTCTGACTAGAAAAACAGAAAACAGAATCTCAGAGCCCAAAACATTTGGGATTTCTTCAAGTGAAACTCCTTTGTGCTCGTTTATTCGGACAAATGGAAGATGAACTCTCCGCAAAAATTCATCTCATGTCCACTTGATTTTATACAACGACAGAAAAATATGCGTGACCAACAATACAGCATAAGGCCACTTCACATTAACACTTTAAAACTTTCTTTAGATTTTGAAAGTGGGACTGATGTAAAACCAAGCATTTATTTGATGCACCGAGTTATACAAATACAAAACTCGTCATGACCATCAAATTTCTTATCTTTGCCAGTCTGAAATCCTTGGCCAGTTTTGATTATGTTCTAACAGATAAATGTAGGAGGTAAAAGAGCACTGAACTGGCAACATACTGCAGCGCTTCAATTGCAAATTAGGCCCAGAAGCAGTCTGGGGAGCTCGCAATCCCATTTCCGCAATGATGCAGAATGACACAAGTTCTGGTTGAAAAATAAATGACTGAGCCCGGTCAAGAAGGCCACACACACTGTATTGCTTGGATGCCAAGTTCTCTCTCGGCTGATCAGATACGTTGCGGCTGCAGCTGTTGTCGTCACAAGGGTTCAGAAAGGGTGAGTTAATAGAATCCCGAAAGATTCTGTACTTACTCCTCTGCCTCGGCCTCTGACTGCAGTCGGTCCGCCCAGGTCACTGCTTCTACCTCCAAATTTGTTTTGAGGGTAAGCAGGCATCCCTCTGCCCCGAGAGCCTACAGGCGCAGGCTTCATATGGGGTGAAGAAAGGCTGCCGTAGGAAGAGTAACCACCTCTTCCAGCATTATCCATAAAGCCAGACCTTAAACCGGACCTTAGGTAGGACGACTCCCAGCTAGACACGTCATTATCGAATTGGTTATTCGGGAAGGAGCTGTCAAATCCGCCACCAAAACTACTTCCAAAGCCAGATCTGTACAGATCTCGGCTACCTCTAGAAGACCCGGAGTCGTAAGACTCGTAAGGTCCGAACCTGGAAAAGTCGCAGAGTGAGGAAAGAAGTGAACGGTTGTATATGGAGAGAGATCACACAAAGCACAACTTCAAACAGAAAAATCAGGCTGATGCTTTTTTTTTTTTTGAGGAGTGTCAGAACTGTGTGCGCATATCTTGGAACAGGACTGGGCACAAAATCCAGGAGCTGAGTTTAAATAAGGGGGGATTTTTCTGTGAACGCTGTACTGCAGGACTAACTCTCCAAATGAAACCATGAATAAATACATCCCCACCAAAGTGAAGCAGAGGGACCACTGGCTAAAGGGAGTAGCTCTTTGCGATGTGCACATCGGACATTACTCTTGGCTCTGCGTAACTCCATCGTGGATTTCCATGACAGCCCAGTCCTGATTCAAAATGATTTTGTACAACAGCCTCCAAATATCAACAGCATGAATAACTTCAATATTAATGATTATTCTAAGCAATAAATAATGTAAACATATTGAATTGCTAACAGCTTCATTAAAACTATCACTTTGGAAAAACATTCAACAATATGGCAGCACCACACGTAGGTCTGAAACATTTAATTTTAAGCTGACATAACATCATGTTCGAGAAATTAAGTATACATTTTTGCACTTCAAAACCTTCCTCACAAGCACACACAGGACTGCTCATTAAATTAAAAATTGCAAGTAACATTACAAGCTACACCAATGTTGAGTTGAAGTTCAAAAGCTGTTAGTAATTTGAAACTACCGGGTTTAATTCTAAAGGCAACAGACCCTTCCAATGACTCTAGTAACGTTACATGTCTCCAATTGTTTTGGAAACCATGATGATTGTTTATATGCTTAATCAGAAGTCCTAATGCAAGGTGACTCACAAAACAGATTAGCATCCTTTCAATTTGTGAACAATGAAACATCCACGTATCACCTCTTTTTCTTCCTCAAGTCTGAATATCACTAGCTAATGCCCAGTGTGTGCAGCACAGGAAGACAGAATGCTGAATTCAGAGCCAATACCTTTTCTTTTACAAACCAGTCTTCCAAAATAAAGTCTGGAAAATGTGATTAAAATTATGTCATGAAAAAAACAGTTTGTCAGCTTGGTTTTAAATAATATCCATCTAGTCTGACAGTACGATGATAAAGCCATGTCTCTTTAAACTTGTGTTTTTTTTAACTTTAAACTAATCTTTCTGGGAGTAAATAAAATATTTCATTTTCACAATACAGAAATACAAGAAGAAACTAAAGAGTTCTATTTATGCTTGTAAACTGTGAAATAACTAAGCAAAATCAATTTTCTTTATGTACATATTTAGGGAAAGAGCAAATCACATTCAGCTTGTAAACTCCGTTTACAACACTACAGTTCTGTCTTGTTCCATGACGTGTAAACATTATACACAGACATAGAAAAAATACTATCCTTTCAATGCAGCCTGAAAAACAGAATAAACGTTTCTGTCTTGGAAAAACTAGAAATATCTCCTACCTTTCAAGACTGTTTCCTTCGAAGCTGTCAAAGGGCCTTGAGACCGGGCCTGCGTACCTTCTCTGGGAACAGCCATGGCTCATATCTGCAGACCAACAGAAACCAACAGCACCTTTATGTTACAGGGATAATTTGTACTGCTTCCAGAAAAATCATGTTCATGTCACACAGCACCTTTAATGACAATGTCACTATGGTTCTCCCAGAGATAGAAAAATACATCTTTGGAACCACTGCAGTCCCACATCTTCAAATTAGCACACTGTACAGTTTTAACAGGCTTTAATAAGACCTCATTTAGAACAGTCACTTAGCCAAGACTGGAATAAACCTACATACAATTCAGCTACACTAGAAGATAAGAAAAACCCATCATAGGGTTACTTGTTATTTTTTCCCCAAGTCCAAGAAAGTTTTCAGGGAGCAAAGACAAGATGAGTCAGGAAGCGTGCAATGCTAGGCACAGCAGATAAAACGTGCTAGGCACAGAAGGAAAACTGTCAGTAATACAAAGTCATGCAACCACAAAGCAGAAACTTCAAATTAAAAAGCACACCACGGGTCTTTTTTTTTTCCTCCAAAAGCTTCAGCAAAACTGATGTTTTATACCAAAATATTGAATTGATAGCACACTCTTCAGTGCACAAGTTTGGTCACATTATAAAAGAGAGATTGCCGATGTCTTAAAAAGCTGAACAAGATCCTCAGACTGCTTGGCTACAAGCAACGAACAAATGAGCTAAACGTGTGGAAGGGCTTCCTTCATCTCTGTAAACTCTCACATTCCTGAAATGCAGCACTCGAAGGTTCTCACCTCCACTCCCCAAGGGTGATGTCATCAGGTCTTCTTTTTCCGAGTACCTGCGGAGAAAATGTTTGCTCTTAAGTTTGCACGTAGAAGAAGAATAAAAACTCTCCGTAACCTAGAAAAAATAACATGCACTACTATACTACTATTAACAAAACTTAGCTCCTAACTGAAGCACAAGCTAATGATATTACACCGAAGCACACTCACAACTGGGACAAAACTCGGCTTTAAAGCATCGAGCCTGGGCTGCAGCAGTCATAATATTTCACATAACGGTTCCCTGTGCGCTCGAATTCACCTTTCAAAGGAGTTGTACGGTTCTAGGGGTCTTGGAGCTGGTCCTCCAAACCGTCCTCTGCCATTTCCACGGATCATTTCTGTAGACGGAACCATGTCAGCTTTGTTAACCGAAGGAGCAACAACAAAGACACCAACTGTGATGGTATGAAAGGGTTTTTCAAGAAACCACACCCCACCCTTTGAGAATACTGATATTTAAAAACACCTGAGGTGCTATAGGTCCAGCAGATCTTATACGTCACCTCTAAATAATAAATTTGTGAAGACTTGGAACACATCGGTTTTGAGCAATTTAGAAAGTTCAATGGTTCAATCAAGGCAGCAGTGGAATATTTTAATTTCATGACATTTTCGTGATTTACTTATTTCAACAAATCGCCTGCAGAAGGGGACAGAACGAAATTCTGTTCCAGCTGTTCAGGCACTGCGATCTGAGGGTGACCCACAGAGTCTGCTGGACTGTGGTTGTCCAGGACCTGGACTCCCCACCGGTGAAATATAAAACATATCACCTTATAAAATACTAAATAACTGTTTCACAAACCACCAGTAATCATGTCACTATTGGGAACAAATATAGTTATCTGTTTGGTTAATATATTTAAATACGTATAAAATAAATGTTAAAACACAATAGACCAAAGAGAACCATAAAGCTAGGTCTAACTTGGACACACCCTAGTCTTCAAAATACGATTACAGTCAAAAGCGTATGTTAGGTTTAAAACGCATTTGCATGTGGTTATAATACAAGTCTTTAAATATTTAAACAGGCATCCGATTGCATTATGAATCCGCTTGTGTAAAACTGGATGTATTCACCACGGCATCCCAGTACAATAGGTCGGAGGAGCGTCGTTTTCCGCAGAACCAGTTAATTACGAATTATTGTCCGCCTCTATCACTAAATCAAGAAATCAATAGCTTCGTGTAGTACAGTTTCCCAGTTTCGTTTTTCACCATGAAATTATTGGTAGACGTTCCCACACATTTTCAGTTTAATCATATTCAACAAAGGCCCGGTGAGCTGCGCAAAAATGAAAAAAAAAATCGCCCGGCACACATGAAATAAAACATGGATATGGAGATATATAAATATCAAGAACATTTAATATTGTTTTAAATTCTAAAAAGCGGCACACTTAAACATGAGAAAAATCTGTAGCATGTTCAGTATTTACCTGCAACATCCAGATGCTATTCGCCCCCTTTGTTGTTCGTGTTACAGACAGAAAGGTCCGGCTGGAATTGCGTCTTTCACTTTTCACGTTCCGGGCTACAAAAGCGTAACCTCAGAGCGTTAGAGCTAGACGTTATGTATCAGAATATAAATGTGAGTTGAAACCTTTACTAGCTGTCAAACCCCTAACTGCTTGACTGCTTACTCGTCTACCAAGTTCATATTACGTGCACAAAGGTTTTTAATTTGTAAATACCCATTCCTGTTTTAATCAGGGTATCGATACTATGGATTCTGTTCTATGTAATAACAGGCAAAGACTAGAATTTACTACAGACTACAGAAAATTGATGCACTTAAAATGTAATACTTCATATGTTACGTTTAACGAAAGTTGTCACTATTTCATGGACCATGTTAATAAAATAAAAACTATAATGATCAGAAGTCTACCAATCCTATTTTTTAAATGAGATCAATTTCAAGGTTTGAAATTCGTGAGCAAATTTTGTGAATATGGATTTCAACTGTCGTATGAGCCCGTGAACAAACCCCTGAACACGCTTTAAAAATCTCGGTTTTCATTTTGTGCATTTAATTCACTTTTCACTAAGAAATTATATTCACCGTTTTTCCCATTAGGGGGCGCTCTGGGCTTCAGGAAAAATACACTTCCCAATGCTTCTTTGTGATGGTCCTTTGAGCAGGTCCACCTCGATAATTGCTCCGTTGTTTCCAACATGATCTTTAAATTAGATTCCTCGTCCGTCCAGGCAAATGAAGTTGACGAAAAGTTCTTGGAAACTAGTTCCACCTGCACTGAAGGCCTATATTTTAACAATAAGTAATAAACGCTCCCTTCTCCTAAAGGCTTTTTAAAACTCAGCTGTTCATAAACGTAACAGGCCGTTTGTTGACGATATTTCCAAGCATCGAAAAAACAGGATGAAATATAGTGAGGCACTTTAAATTAAACATTCGTCTTTAAATTAAACATAGTATCCGTTTACACATATTTTAATGAACAAGTTAAAAGGAGGAAGCAAATCACAATTTAGTTCTTTTTAAATATTGTATTAACGAAATACATTTTTAAATTTCCTAGATTGGAATCATTAAATATTGGTGGCATCTCTACACAGCCTAACATAAGAGGGAACCTATATATACACAAACATATTACATGTGCCACGGTATTTCTTAACGTGCACAACTAATTTTGTTGATAAGGTTATAAGGTTAAACAATATCCTAATTGTCGGGCCATCGACAACACTGAAGTCAATGCGATGCTTCCCAGCTTTCACGTTCTGCACAGAATTGTTAATTAGCACAAATCACAGAACTCAAATATTCATGTTTTTAACGCATTTATTCTTCCAAAAATCTTGCAAATTATATACAGCATTTAGAAAAAACAAACAGAACAAGAATTTACTGGAGAATTTCGTTAAAATACATTTTTCAGATTATTGCAATATGCCGACACTTTGTCCACAGTTTGATGTCAAATCAGAAACTTCAGACATCCTGTATACTACACGCAGAGCTACTGCAGCATTTTTTATCAAATGTGCACAGGTCATCCTTATTCCTTGAAGCACTCAGTGGGGACACCTTGGAAGCTGAATGAGTCCATTTTGCTGCATTCATTTCAGACATAAATGATTTACATAAATTAAAGAAAATATTTGGTGGGCCTTGGTATACACAAGAACACCATAAGAAAAGACATTAATTTTTGGTATAAAATCAGGTAACTTCAAATCATTATTTGGCCACACAGTTATGCCTCACAGAAGGGATTATTGGGTTCGATTTATCCTGATATATTTTACTTATGTTATTAAACAAACCGTGCCCATAGTTTTTATTGTACAATAAAAAACAACCTTTTATATTGATCCTCAGAAACAAAAGTTTTATAAGTACAATAAAAATGAAGTCCTTCCCCTAGTACTTCCTTATCAAGTTTTCAATTTGCAGTTGCTTTAAATATTGATACCGTATGGGTGAATGTCAGAGCTTTTACTACACTAAAAACACAAAGAAGCAAAACAGATTCAAAGCAAAAAATACTAAACTAAACCAATGAGCTTGCTTGTATGGAGAACGTATACTGTGGGCAGAAATCTAGAAAAGCCAGTTCAATCTTTGTCCTATTTTGTTCAAATTCTTACACTTAGAAGTGTGGGCTAAAAGTCCTACTACATCCTCAAAGACAAGCAAAATGTCAGTAAAGGCTCGTCTGTGCGAGGGCCTGGTCTGGTGAGGCTGGAAACAGAGGGGATATTGTGTCGCAGTGTCAGATTTCCCAGGCAACAGCGCACTCGGACACGAAGCGGGGTCCTTCGATTCCGGCGGGTCCTGCACTTCCAGAGGCCCTGGGGCTGTCACACGGACACACCTGTTCCACGGGCCCAGCGGAGCGCCATGGAAACGAGAAGCCATTTGAAAGTTTAACAAGGGTTAACAACGTCAAAACCAGTAACAAGCAAAATTGGTTTATCCCAGCTGTCAGATCTAGCTAGCTTCAGGAGGACTTAATGAGGGATATTTAATCACAGGACGAGCAACAAAGTCCCTGAAGGGGAATGGAATGAGAAACACGTCGCTATTTCCTCCTCTCCTGGCTCTCAGGGTAAAGCTGAATATTCACTCACATCCGCCTGGATTCAAGTCACATCAGGCTTCCACTGCATTCCAAGCACAGCTCAAGAGCTGGAGCCTAGAGGCCTGTTTTTACATTGCGGGGCTTATTTCAGTCCAGACCGAGTAGAACAGGGAAATCAGTCCGTAATGAAGCTCTGTAGAGAGACTGTCTTGTTTACTGAAGACATAGAACAGTGTATGTGAGCTAGATGAGCACAGGTGAAATGATAAAAGATGATATAAAATGATAAAAAAAGAGATAAAATGACGTTTTTGGTCATTCGCACATAATAGTAAGCCTCGTTTACCGAGCAGGGATCATGACAACCCACAGCCTGTGTCTGACTTACGGCTTGAAGATTATGTTTATTGTTAATATTAATTACATATTTTATTATTTTTAAACAACCACTGAAATATTAACTGACCACACCCGGGTCGTCTTTGTCCGATTCAAAATGAAAGCTCTGTGTAAAGTAGTCTCACAAAAATATCGAGTGACATAAGAGGCTCTAGGGTTACTTTACCTCTTTTGGCCCCCTCTCAACACCATGCAGAAATAATTTCTGTTGTTAAATATCTATTAAACGCAAGACGCCAACAAGAGATAATCCTATACGTAGGATGTGTGACAGATCTGTATCAACACTTAGCACTGCATATTTCGCCTACTTTTAGAGCATGAACTCTCCTCACAGAAGGGATCTGTTCATTCAGAGATATATGCTGTTCATGGGTTACCTTTTGCATACTCATTAAAATGTATTATGTTTTTTTGGAGGGAAAATGAAATGCCTTATACATTCCACAGTAACAAAAACACATTTTTACTCAATTTAGCATTAAAAAAATCACAAAAAATGTACAAAAAGCCTGACACTAGACAATTCTTAAAGCTTTATCATTCTCAGAATGGATGAATATTATCATTGCCCTGTCTGTATACATTACCCTTTTTATTAAAACCTCACCACACTCCTTTTCCCAAAGATGTATTCTAATCAACTGCTGCCATGTGCAACTTAATAACTGAACTGATTTGGTTTGTTCACACTTCTTCTTTAACCCCTGAACTAAACGTAAAAATGCCACTGTTGAAAGAAATGTGATGCTTCAAGTGAATTATGGCGCTTTGAGGACGAAGTCAGCATGCTTTTGCTGCACTGGTGGTTCGGTCCTGAAAGCGCTGTAGCACAGGTTGTGGTGTGTGTATTCATGAAGGGTCCTCCAACCTGAACCATGAGGACACACTGCTCAAGAGACCTACTGCCATACTGTTTGGAACATGAAGGACACCAAAGGAGAGGACAACAGCCATGTTTTCTCTCCCCATTTCCTAAACGGAACGGTGCACCAGGGTTACAATGGTAAATGCTAGCAAGTTTGCAGCACGTGTCTTTGGCTCTCACCACCGTGCACACACCGGGAAGTTACATCAAGAGCTCTGAGCTACAGGGGCTCTCAGGCAGATGAAGCCCACGCAGGCAAGTCTTTAAAACCGGTTATTCTGTTGAAAAGAAACTCCGAAACTTCGGTGCGGCCAGGGAGCCAGGTCCCGCCATGCCCCGGACCTGGACAGAGAGGATGGCGACTGGACCCGGAAGCGGTCAGCTGTGCACTGCCCCCCCCGCAAGCCGCCGTGACGCCACGGAGGCAAGCTGTGTTAGAGGAGCTCACCGCTTCTTCTGCGACAGTACAGAAACAGAACGCCACCACAGCAGGCTGCAGCCCGACGAACAGTGACCGACCGAATTCTGAGCCAGGTGGTACAGGTACTGTCAGCTAAGAATCAGGTCAAGCACAAGGAACAGAAAAAAACGTTTTAACAAAGCAAACTCAAGTTTGTGAGCTATATTCGGATATAAAGCTTTTTAAAAGCAGATTACAAACAATAACTCTAATAATCTTAAAGCTTGGTGATGGAGCCCCCTCAGTGAGACAGCATAAAGCTATGAACAGCACAAGCATTGTAAAACAAATCACTGGTCTTTTTCTGAAAAAAAAACATATAAAATGGAAAAGAATGACCAGAACTACTTTCTTCAGCAGCTATGGGTTTCTCTCCAGGTTTCCAGACTTCAGCTGCTTTATTTTTTCTTTCAGACATGTAGACTGTTTGTCCACAAATCCTGAAACAGTGCCTGTACTGTCACTAATACCCACAACCCCACTTATCTTATGTGGAACAGGCAACGCTGCAGTAACTGAAGTCTTCAGCATGCTAACTGGACCCTTCTTGATCATGTCAACTGACTTCCTACAGTTCAAACCATCAGCTAAGTCAAGCTAAGACAAACCTCCCATCCATCAGATGTTCCGCCTGACTAGCAGCACGAAGATGGGATCTCTTCCTGCTCCTGAGTACAGGGAGCTTGTGCAGGAAACAAGACTACAAAGAACATCCCAAAATTAAACCATTGGAAACACTTTGTTCTGCTAATTTATCACCTATATGCCATTTGCAAAGGGAACATTGGACTCCTGATTGATCATTTCTTTAGCTTCCAGAGGCAGAGTGTCAAAAAGATGGTCTTCAACGATGAGGCAGGTCCTCCTGAGGAGCCGACACTGTCCCAGCTGCGAGGGGAGACGGTCCAGGCAGTTTCCCTTCAGTTCCAGCTGGGTGAGCTGTGCTAGCTGGCAGATTTTCTCAGGGATCGTGGAAATGCAGTTCTGCCCAAGAAATAACGTCTTTAGCTTAGTGCATTTAAACAGCTGCTTAGGCAAAACTTCCACTTTGTTTCCAGTGATAGCAAAATGCTGGAGGTTCTGCAGAAAGCCAATTTCTAGTGGGATTGCCGCAATGGTGTTGTGACTAACATCCAAGTATCTCAGTTTCTGGAGGTTGAAAAGAGGTGGAGGCAAAGATTCCAGCTTGTTGTGTGAAAAGTAGAGAGATTCCAGGTTCTTGACGTGACTTATGGACAAAGGAATGCTGATGATTTTGTTATGCCACAGTTTGAGGCACGTTAGTCTTTTAAGATGTTGAAAACTAATGACTTCTTCTATCGTGCGGATGTTATTGGATTTCAGATCTAGCTCCTGCAGGTTTGTCAGACTAAAGATGGCATGCGGGATTCTCTCCAGCTCACAATTGTGCAGCTCCAGTTCGGCTAAATTCATCATCTTCTTCAGGCTGTTAAGTACCAACAGTTTTGTCCCGTCATTGTGCACAACCAGTTTGGTTAAGTGTGGTGAAAGATCAGTGATGTTTGTCGGGATCTTGGTGAGGTTACTCTTGAGATGCAGGGTCTTCAGATGCCTCAGATCTCGAAGGGACTCCAAACCTATCATCTTGTTGTTTTCTGAGTTAAGGTTGCCTACTAGGTATAGCTCCCTCAGGTTCCTCAACAGGTAGACCCAAGAGGGGATCTCTCCAACGTCTGTAAACTTTACATGAAGGCACCGGAGGTGGTCACGGAGAAAACTGAAAGCCGTCTGCTCAACTTTGGCAGGACAATGGTATAAATGCAGCTCCTGGAGGTTAATCATTTGGGAAATCTTGGCTGTGAGCCTGGCTTCAGGAATCAGTTCCAGCTTGAGTATCTCCAGGTCGGTGAGGTCGAAGACCACGTCAGGGACCCCTGAGAGCATGAAGAGATGAAGTTCGAGCTTATCCTGCGTATTCCGTGTTACATGCTGCCTCAGTTTCTCATAGGTCCACTCGTGGTTCAGACTGATCTCCCGGAGCTTGTTCTCGCTCACTTCAGAGAGGAAGACCCCAAACCTTTTGGAATACAGCTGGTCATACTGGTCAACCATGTGCAAAAGAAAGGCAAAATCATTCTTTACGTCGGGAATGTCGCTGAAGCTACTCTCCTCCCTCACCTTCTCGAAGGAGTACTCCTTCAGCGGGCGTCTGAAGAGCCAGAAGAGGGTGTACAAGCAGACCAGACCATACACACAAATGAGAGCGATGTAGCTGATGAGCAGCTTCTTCAGCATGAAAGCCATGTTGTGAGTGCAGCAAAACTGAGAGTACCCGGTCAAGTGCTTGACGTCTGGCTCACAGATGTGCTCAAAATGGATTGTAGCAACAAAATTTGAAGTGTAGCCTAAGATCAAGATGAACTTGCATGTTTTGATCACAGTCTGAGCAACGTAAAGCTTGTAGATGAAGGCGCTGTCCTCCACGTGGGCACGGAACTTCCTGACCTTCTCGAAGAGGGCTTTGGCCTGCTCCCCGTCCTTCTTGTCCAGAATGGTCATGCCCGGAACCTCAACGACAGGCTTTTCAGCGGAGAATTTTATGCCGGTCTTGGCCAGCATCGGGGTGGTCGGGCTAGGGCTCCCCTCATCGCTGCTGGTCGACACGTGCTTGGGCAAAGAGGTGGCGCCCGTCAGCCTCTGCTTGTTCTCCTCCGAGTCCTCGCAGGCCGTTTCGGACAGCGCCTTCGTCGTCCACGGTGACTCGAAACACTTCCCCAGGATCGACACGAAGTGCTCGATTTTGGAACTGGTCTTTGGATATTTGAACCAAAAGTTACTGCTGACCATGAGTACGATCGTGTGAATAAGAGCTAGGTAGGGAAAGTACTTTGAGTACCAAGGCAAGGCCACGTGGTAGCACATCTGGTTGACAAAGACATACTGCTGGAAGTCCAAGTTTGTTTTCACCCCTGTAGGCTGTGGTTGGCCCACTATTCTCTTCCCATCAAAAGCAGGCGTTAACTGCGAGACACCTGTGGGGGTGGGAGAGGTCATATCCCCTGGTTCTGTAAACGCATTCGATCCTCCGCCTCTTGTTCCGCATTTTTCACCCGATTCCAGAAAGGGAAGGCAGACGACCTGGTCTTTGGTTAACTGCATTGTCCCGGCGAATATCGCCACCATCAGCATCACGACAGCGAGATAGTCCATAAACACATCCCACCATGGCTTCAGGATCCGATATGTGGGCTGGATGTCATTGAGAGAGGCGACTTCCGTGAGGGTGAACATTCCTGCAAGACAAGGAAAGAAGAGAATCGTGGGAAAGGCAGCAAAGAGGAACAGTTGGACTTCGACCTCGTAAAAAGCGCCAGTCTTGCAAAGAGTTCCAGAAAAAACAGGTGAAATGATAGGTCGCATGGACCTAGTGACGGAAAACTGACCAGAATTGCACACTGACAAGAAAACACCACCGCTGCCCATCAAACAGGCTTGCCTCTGCCGATGCGTTTAATTGACCTTTATCACTTAACACATCAGCATGCACTAACGAAGCAGATCAAGTTCCACATGAGCCTCTCCTTCAGTCCCTCAGTGCAAGCACACTGAAGCCCAGGGGACAGACAGGAGCGCATGATGACCGCACCAGCAGCCTAGCTCCTCTCTTCTGCCCAGTAAAGCAATCCCACACTGGAGCATTCAATTGAAAAACTAACTAAACTGCAAACTACTGAACACCAGTGGGTCAAATGTCTGAGAACATCTCAGCTTGCACCCTTTCCATTTTCCTTGAAGAATATGTTAAACATCAGTGTGTTCTGTGTATCGTCTTTCAGAGCACCGGACGCAGCACAATGCATTCCTGTAAGTGATGCCTTCAGCTCAATAAAACAACATTCTTTTAGCTAGAAAAGCTGAAGTTCTGCAGACAAAGAAAGCTGGAACATTATTTTAAAAAATACAGTATCACAGTTACGCTTGTGTGTGTGATGAGGGTGGTGTGGTGTCGATTTGAGTCAGAACATTTGCATGTACTCCAACTCTAATTTGGAAATGCACTCAGAAAGAACAATTATAACGTGCATTTATACTGTACCACTTACGGTTTTGCTCTGCAGTCATTTGGAATAGAGCCATAACATTCTCATTCAGTAAAAACTTTCTACCAAGTCCATATCTTCAGACCTTAACAGGAAATTTGGTTATTTTTTTATTGCTTAATTGCTTTAAGGATGAGTTTGGAGGAAGGTGGAAAAAAACTATTGCCTCAAGAAGCTCTTAAGCAAAGTCAGCGGTGCTTTGTTAGAGCAATGAAATTCAACACTCTTCTCTCAGCCATGCAGATGTTTTTCAGACATCTTTAGCCAGTTTTTACACTGCTAAACAAGAAATGGTTTCTCTGGTGTAACACCTTTTGTTCTTTTGTTAAGGAGAAAATTTGTTTTATACATAGAAGAGGGCCCAGCCCAATCACCACTGCACCAACAGCCCCACCTGGGAGACACAGCGGCCATTCTGCACCAGTAGCCTCACCTGGGAGACACACAGCGGCCATTCTGCACCAGTTACCCCAATGCAGAACAAGTCAGGCAGAGGAGTAAGACACTGCTGCACCAGCTGGATTAAGACGGAAATTTAGAGAGACCACATTGTGCAGCCCAGGGCAGAACTAAACAGGCCACTTCAGAATAGCCCATGGGGAGCAAGACATTGTTAACCAGTCTTAGGTATCATCTCATAGGTTAGTCATAGTTAGCCTGTGTTTTTACTAAGATAACTGAAGATTTATTTTTCTTTCATCCAGTTCAACATCACTTTAACGGTCTGCATCACTGTCCCAACCTATTGGGAGTTATCTAAGGACTTCAACAAAAAGCATGTGCAGTCCAGAAAACCACATGGCTCCACACATTCATTTGCAGGCACAGACTTTAGGAAGCTGTAATCCAAACCCACAACGTTGAAAACAACTACATTCTCTTAAAAGCTTAGCACTGAGAGCCAGACTTAAATACTCCAACCCCATTTTCACCCCATGTGCTTTGTTGCTTCTGACAGATTTTCTCCTGTCTCATTCCTCCTTATCTCCAAGAATAAATGCACCGAAGGTGTAACCACACTAAGTCTAAGGAGCTGCAGGGATGATCCATCACAATCCTTAAGTGCTGCAATGGAGGACAGCTGGAACTGTGAGTATCGAATGCAAAAAGAGGACTTCAGCATAAATTAAAAACCTGACTCTTTTTGAGAGAAAACGGTCATGTTTTCAGTATTTTGCCTAACTGTATCTCAAGCTACAAAAGTAACTACTGTGTGACCTGCAGCTGGACAATAAATTTAAGTAACTAAGACCTTTTCAATCACAAATACAGGTGCTCAGCAAAGTTATTCCCACAACCCTGCAAAAACAAACAGCCCTCTACGGCCTACTGTTAACCTAGGCTTGGAGTTTAGCTTCAAACTATGTTTTCACTGGAGCAAACATGACCACAGCTGTTATCGTTGGTGAATGTTGTTATCTGATAGACCTCAAAATACAAATGTTCAGCGCAGCCCCCAGTCAGTTTATACAGCTTGTTGGAGACAGCCTGCCGAGATTCCCGGGAATTCAACGTGAATAGGTAGGGATGTTGACAAGCCCTTTCATCATATATAATTAATGTTTCTTAATCCAATTCACCGAGTGCAAAGCGCTCAGGCTAATCTGAAATATAAGAAGGTGAAAAAGGATCCAGCCAGTGTTTTTCCAGTCAAGAGCCTTTGTAAAGCCAGACTTCATGGCGAAGATCTGCTCACTCGCTGTGTTTGATCTTATGGCGCAGGAATCAACATCTATATTCTGCAACATTGCGATCTCACGCCTCCTGGGACAGACTTTTGCAGAGACTGCCCTGGTGAAGATGAGAAGTAAATATACAGAAAGCAGACACCAACCCTGTCGCTTTCATCATTAATATATTTTAAAAATGCATCTACAGTATAAGGATGCATTTCATTTGTGGCATCACGACATCAGCAGAAAGAAATTTTTCCCTTCGTTTTTCCAGGACACACACACACGCCCTGCAAAGGCGCCACCACTTCTCGTTCTGTTCAGATCGAGCTTCTCGAGTTTCACTTTCTCCCTTCCGGTCTCTGTTGTTCGCTGATGGCGAGAAGAGGGAGCAGCTTCCGCAGGGAGATTATTTGCTGGTCCCTGCTGGTGCTGAGGGGCACAGCGGGTTGGGGAAGGCAGCCTCTGTACCCCTTGATCGTTTCTCGATTCCCCGCCAGCCCCAGGGAGTTCAACAACTGAACAACTGTCTGTCTGGGTTTCCCACTGCATCCTCCTCCCTCCCTTTCCAGCACAGCAGCCTTCCAGGGAAAAGAACCTTCTCCAATTAGGAAAGCGGATATCTTAGATAAATACCACCCCCCCCAACTTGTGTGGGATTTAAGAAAATCTTCTTTTCCTCTCTCTGGCCTCTGGCCAGGGGAGGAATTTCTAGGTAAGTGTCTGCCAGTGAAATCATCCTGCATGAAATTGCATTAAGAGATCTAAAAGAAATAATGGCAAAATGAAAGAAAACTGGAATGAGACAGGTCACTTCATTTGTACTTTTGTCTATTTATTCTAACCCGGCCTACTCTTATTTCTGATTCCATCTCTGTTGTCTGTTCTAACTATCTCAGGAACAAACCTACTTCAAAGCCTGTTCCAGCAAGCGTACACATGACGGAACAGCAGGTCTCAAGGTTCTGACTCCACCCTGATGAAGCTCTTAAACCCGTTATAAAGCAATGCAGCTCCCGCTGTGTAACACTGTCCCTTCATCGCCTGTGAAAGCACTTTGGCGGCATTTCCACAACCTCACCAAAAACCGCAACAAAGACATTTAAATGCGATATTGAGGTACGCAGTCATTAAGAAACGAAACAACAGGCTGTCCCTTTAAGTCAAACAGATTGCTTCCTGAGCTCAATCGCTCCCTGTTACTGTCTGCAGCACTCTCCCGATATCCTGCTAAAGCAGCTGGAGAAAACGGCCAGCCCTTGCTGCCTGTGGCCTGAAGAAACAGTCCATCAGCTCGTAAATAAAAACAAGACCGCACACACTGAAGAACACAGCGTGGCAGACGCCCCCTAAACTGTAGGCAAGTAGATACAGGTGTGGAAAAGTCACACCTTGTTGTGCAGTAGTCCAAGGGACAGCACCATGTAATGGGCCATGTCTTAAGGGGATAACATCCCATTTAATACAAGACCAAGGATAACATTGCCAGGAGCTTCCTGGTGTGGGTTTTCCCTGGAAGATAGATGCTCTAACAGACAAATGCTAAAGTAGGCCTACATGAAAATCATTCTTGTCATCCTATTTTTCAGCTCCAATTGTCAACATTACAGTAATTTAAACATAACTAGTCGTTTCAATTTAACCACAAGTCAGTAGACATTATGAAACTGCAGAAATCCACGTTATATTCTTTGAAAAACACCTTTATGATTAAGAAATAAAATGTACCTTACTGAACATGAATCCATAAGCCTTTCCAATCAACTGAAAGGTGCGTTTGCATTTATTTATGGATAAAGATGCAAAAAATTAACTGGGAGGGAGTACTTTAGGCGACACAAAAGAAACAGAACTTAGTTCCTCCTTCTGTGAGTGTTGAGAAATAACAAGCGAACTGTGAAATCAACAGCCCCCACACCAGAGTCATTTCCACACACATTGCGATTCACGATGATGACATGTAGAGGCAGTGGAACCAACCTGTAGCCCGATCCCATCAGATCACAGATGCTAAACAAGGCTCAGCCTGTTCAGCACTGGGATAGAGACTTGTAAGGTAAACCTGGCTGCAATAAGTGGGACTTGGCTGTCTGGACCAGAATTTTCAAACCAACGGCCCAGAGTGCTGTAGGACATGCCAGCTTGGCCATTAAAGATCCCAGGGCACTGCTGGTAAGAGAAGGAGTGTTAATCCCCGATTCCTGGCTAAATCCCACTCTGGGCAAGCTCAGTCTCGCCTCCCTAAAGTCCCCCTTAAATTTAGTTGGTGAAGTCATTTCTCCCTGCCCCCAGACAACTGCTGGTGCCAAATGGCGGCAACAGTCCAGTGATTTCATCAGTCCCCCCAGAGAGATCATGTTGCGAACGTTGGGAATAAGGCTGAAGAATTCAGGTCAACTCGCCCGCAGAGCGTCTCCATTCCCCTTTTAAAACTGCAACTGTTCTATGTTTTGTGTTGGCGTGGTGTGTTTCTGGTTGGTGTGCGTGTGGTTTTCCTGTCCCCATGCTCCTGGATCTCCT